GGCGGTGCTGAGCAGATAGATTTCACAGAGATAGATTTCACAGAGGATTGCAATCTTTGCATGCTGCTTGCTGCTGCTATGTCTTCACCCCCCTAGCTGTCGCCCTCTGATTACCAATCTCCCATCTCACTTCTCTATGTTTCATCCATATCTCTTGCATTCCAACATGCGGGCTGCTTGTCTTTGCAAGCAAACACAAAACATGTAGTTAGAGTTTGAAAGATGTCTTGTGCAGTGGGTGGGATAGGACCACCCTGCATGTATGGTCATAGGCTTTGCTCCAGAATCCTTATGCTACTTTCCTCCATTGGAGCAACTCCTTTCATTTGGACCTTATTGGGGTTTAAATCTATGACTTTTTAAGCTCTCCGGTTAGTATTTATAACCTTGCAGAATATTTTGTTATTAAAAGAGCTGCATTTCTATTATTATTATTAAACTGTATGCAGAGAGTGTGGAAGGCATCCAAATATTTATGAATAACTTTCAACCTTAGAAATTTAGAAGACAAACAGGCTAGGATTTTAAGGGGAAAAAAAAGTCTTTACACTTCAGGTTCTTGGAAAGAATGTTTTATTTGTGCTTCTGATTTTTTTGTGGTCTCCAACTTTTGTAACTGGATGAGTGATCAATTCATTGTATGTATCCCAGCTGTATGGGTAATGCTCAGTAAGAATCAGAGAAGAGCACTGTTTTACTGTCTTACTGTTTTTCTGTAGCCCCGTTGTGGGGATTTAGAAATCATGGAGGAAAGTACTCCTCAAAATGTCGTTAAATCTCTTTAAAAATTTGAGGTAAGTTCCTTCCTAATGAAAGCTCCTTTAGATTATTCAAAGAACTGGGAAAAAATACTGTATTTTAGCTTGTTCTCTGTCTCTAGGCTGTTCCCAGCCGTATTCTTGATGGGGTGATTCAATGGAGTCTTTCCATGATTCCTGTATACTTGGATTAGATCTTCATGCTCCTGAGAAGTTCCTTTCCAGGGAGCAGAATGAAGAAAACTATGGACTTGTAGATCAACAATACCATTGAAGTAGATTGCACTATTTTCTTGGAAAACTGTCCACAGTGAAGAATGACAACTGAATTCTTGGTACATGAGCTAAATCGGGTCTCGCTGACTTTATGTTCTAGGAAGGAGCAAGTACATCTATCAGTGTATAAAGATAGCACTTGTGTGTTGTGTACAGAGATTATTTCCCAGGCGAGTTTGTGTGGGGGAGGAGAGCTTTGGGTCTGTGTATTTTCCTGCCAACGAGATAGAACAATGTTATTAACTAGAATCTCCTCTGGAGATATTCAGAACTTGCTTGGGTGCTTTCTTGTGCAACCTAATATAGGGAACCTGCTTTAGCAGGGAGGTTGGACTGCGTGATCTCCAGAGGTCCCTTCCAAGCCCTGTGATTTTGTGACACTGCATACAGTGTGCCATTGTGTGAAAGGAGCAGGAATGATGTGAACGTGATTTACCAGTGACACAAGTCTAGTTGCAGGCCAGTATTTAGCGGTGTATCCCAGGTTCAGTGCTGGCAGAAAAAGTCCTGGGGGTCTTGGTGGACACCAAGTTGAACATGAGGCAGCTGTTTGGCATTGCTGTCAAGAAGGCATGCCATATCCTGGCTGCCTTAGGCAAAGTATTGCCAACAGGTAGGGGGATGTGATCCTTTCTGCAGCTCTGGTGAGGCTGCACCTGGAGTGCTGTATCCAGTTCTGGGCTCCTCAGTGCAGAGGAGACATGGATGTTCTCAAGAGAGCCTGAAACAGGAGCACCTCTCCCATGAGGAAAGGCTGAGAGAGCTGGAACTGCTCAGCTTGGAAAAGAGCTCTATTGTAAATTAATAAGACTTAAAGGAATTTCTGAAGGACCCTAGAGAGATTTTTGTAAAATGTTTAGTCTCAGTGCAGATGAAGTATGCGGAAGGATGATCTGTCTGAAAACACAGTCTTCTGAAGAGCTTACATCTCTACTAGTTGATGGTCCCGAGTTTGTGTCTCTGTCTTCAATATTATTGTATACTGCCATTCTGGATTTGAATTATATGTATTTTTGAGTCCCTACACACAGGATTCTCAGTAGTTGGACTGGATGATCTTTGTGGATCCCTTCCACCCCCATAATATTCTATGATTCTGTACATTACTTCTTGACTATGTTAATTTTTGCCTGGAAAAGTTCTTTTTCTGTGTGGCACTTAGCTGCTAATTCTGGATGTCCAGAAAAAGTCTTTTGCTGTGAGCATTTCTGGTATAATTTTCCCAGTGATTGTCTTCACTGTTATTTTCCTTGGAAAAGCTGAACTCAGGAGCACAGGATTGAGAAATGGAGTAGTACTGGTTGGGAAAGGAGGGATTAAAACAATCAGCAAAAGAGCCACAGGCAATGGACACAGCAGTTAACCAGGGAGTTTTGTTGTACTTGGCTGGCATTGCTTGGTGCTGAGTGACAAGCTACAACTAAGATGTGATTCATCATGTTTGAAAACAATATTTGTGATCCCAAATGATAATAGATGATAGAAAAGGGTTTATTACTGTATAACTTCAGAGGGGCAAGCAGTTGAATTCCAAGGCAAGTGAGTGATTTTTGAAACTCTAGTGATTTTATAATCAGAATATCAGGGAAAGACCTCTAAATTTTGCACTTTTTGGTTTTGCAGTTTCCCTCAAAGCAGATTTCCTAATTTCTGCATGAGGATTGATGTGTAACCTCTTGTCCAAATGCAGTCATTTTGAGGGGGCGGTCACTTTGAATGCAAGCCTATGGCTTCTGTATTGAGTTAATGATTATTACCACTGCTCCATCAATTTGTATGATACATCTCATGTAAGTACTTTCTCTTGTCGATTCCTCTGTTTTGTATTTATTCTTGAAGCACTTACAAAATGCCTATACAGTTAATTTTTATGTATTTGAATTTAGACTACATTGTAAATTCCTATGCTTGAAACCGTTTTTGATAGTAGCACTCCTGTATGAAATCCTACTTTTCCACTGGTGGTTTACTATCACCAGCAGTGATACTAAGCTTGCTTTTTTGTCTGTGTGCAGTCTGTGTTGGAAGGCTCATTGTTTGGTCCTTGTCCTCAGGATGCTACACTTAAGCTGTTCCATTTTCTGAAGCAGCAAACTGAGCAGCGTGTCAGATTTCTAGCTTTTAATTCCTGAAGTTATATCATGTCTGTGCAGCCCACACTGTTTGTGCATTCCAGGAAAACTGGAATTCCAAACTGTTGCTTGTTTTGACTTCCTTGAGAGTAAAAGTTTCCAAATGTGCAAATTGAAAATGATGGCACTCTTCTCTGTTCATAGGAAACGTAGATGACTTTTCATGTTTGCTTGAAGCAATGAGAGGAAAGTATCCCTGCTCCTCTCCCACCCCCTAGTTCTGTCATGTTTGGTAAATAACATGTTTGCAAATGCAAGATGTCTTCTGTCTGTGGTCCAGGAAGGCATGGTTTTAATTCTTCGATTTAAATAACTTGCAGCCTGATGTGGTGGTTGGTAACCCTGCCCATGGCAGAGGGTTGGAACTAGATGATCTTTAAGGTCCCTTCCAACCCAAACCATTCTGTGATTCTTTGATGAATGAAGAAAATTCCTGATGCACATTACCTTTGCTGTTGCATTACACATTGCAATGTGATTCTTTCCCACTGCTCTATACTGCATTGCCATGGAAAGCCACGGAGAAACAGTCAGTGCTAGCCTCTGTTCTGAGGGCTTAGTAACTCTAAAGAGAGTTTATAATGTTTACAAATTCTAGATGTTAAAAATTCTAGATTATTCTTGCTTTCTCACCGAACGAGGGGTGTGATTTAGTTAAACTTCATGCCCTGAATTCATAGAATCACTAAGGTTGGAAAAGACCTCTAAGATCATGTAGTCAGCCCATCACCACCATGCCCACTGACCACATCCCTCGATGCCACATCTCCACATGTTTCTTGAACACGTCTAGGATGGTGACCCCAGCACCCCCTGGGCAGCATGTTCCAATTCATTACCACTCTTTCAGAGAAGAAATTTTTTCTAGTATCCAACCTTTGAGTGGCCACAAATTCTGAATATGCCCATATATCCCTGTCACTTTCATAAGCTGTTCTGAACATCTTTAGTCACTGTAGTATCTTACTGGAAATAGTAATTCACTATTGGAATGTTTAGCAGTATTTCTTCTCTGCAATAAAATGATTCCCTTTGATTCACCTGTTGGATTTCAGTTACAGATTGCTTCCAAAATGAGTATTCCCTTTCAGTGGTAGTAATCTTAAAAAGTGGTCATGTTTAGTACATCAGATGAATAATATATGAGAATAAGTCTCACTCCAATGTAGCTGGGTATGTTTGCCTACCATGACATGGGAAGCACATGACCATCAGTCTTAGACTGCAGAACAGAAGTGTAGAAGAGCAGGAGGGTATATGTTCTCACATTTTCCTAAAGCTCTATGGGAGATAACTGGCGTTATATTTATTTAGCTATTGAATCAAAATATTATTTGGTATTGTAGAATAAAAAATGAGAAAAGTGATGGTTCATTTTTTTCTTAACATCTTTGATCAGTCCTGTGTATGCTTTCTACTTTTGCTGCTTTGTCAAAATAGTTTTGTTCTTTAAAGTGAAGATTTAAGTACTATTCATTAAAAAATAGTTGCGTGAATGATTGCAGGGCACTAACTGCTTTGGATTTCACAAAGGAAGTAACAAAGATGTGGGCTACGTTTTTTTCAGGGCTAATTTGGGGAATACATTTTAGAGTTAACTTGCCCAACCAGTATTAGAATATGTCGTAGTCTTAGACTTAGTCTTCAATATGTGAAATATTTTGGTTGGAGAAATGTAAGAGATGTCTCCAGAGAAGTCTTAATAAAAATGCACCAGAGGCATGAAATCTTTACTTGTAATTTAGTGAATGAAGCCTTTTTTATTCTATGAGTTTGATTTATTTCCTCCTCGAGGTGATATCTTTTGTGAAATGATACTTTTCTTTATCTGTAGGTTCCTTCAGAGAAATCAGAATCCTTTGCAGCCATGTTGAGACGCTCACCTTTGATTCAGATGGGACCTGCCAAAGATAAAATCGCCATTGGTCAAATATTCCATGTTGTAGAAGATGACCTTTATATAGATTTTGGTGGCAAGTTTCACTGTGTCTGCAAAAGACCAGAAGTAGATGGAAAGTAAGTAATAAATTATGGTAAGCGATTAAAATAGGTGAATAACGAACTGATAGGTAATTGGACTTGATGATCTTAGACTTTTGTGGTTTGTATGAATTATGTGGTTTAAACTAGGCAAGTTAAATCCTTGTGCAGAATTAATATCTGTGTAGCTCAGGAGTCATTCTGTTGTATTCATATTTTTTTGTAAATTTGCTTTATTGATATCTACATTGTTTATGAAGACCAAAGGAAGTTGGTTTTCTTTAAGGTGTAGGTTGTTTGCACAACACTAGTTACAGTTCTAGAGTAATTTGTTAACATTTCCGTTAACATTTTGTAACCTCTGAAGGCCGTCTAGTCCAACTCCCCTGCAGTGAACAATTCTGTGTCACTTTGCAGCAGCTGCAGTTGAGAAACTCCTTTTTTTTGTTGTTTCAAATCTCCCTAAAGGGAGACTCCTCATCGTCTCATTTCCACTCATGCAGTTGGCTTCGCCTTTTGGCCAGTGGGGCTTTGGTCACTGAGAAACAGGGAAATGGTTACTGTCTGAGTTCTTAAAATAAGCATTATTTATGGAAATAATTCTCCATTTAGTGAATATGGAATTTTCATGCTGTATCAAGTGAAAGCCACCGTGGGCAGGAACTATCTTTTCTGAATATATGTATGTGAGATGATACAGTGGGGAGCTTGTACGTTATTTACTTGTGATATTACAGTTCTTAATAGATTATCAGAGTCAACGTGCTGTCCTGAACTATAACAAGTACACTGGGGAAGGCAGTAGTTATAGAGAGAAAAGGTAGTTGAGCAACAGATTCTGGTGAAAGTTGCATTTATAAGTTTTCTCAACACCTTACGATTATGTATTATTTAAAGATATCTTGCCTGTTTGTTTCCAGGATGCTTTATCACTTTGATTTTAGTATGGAGGCAAAATACCATTTTTTTAAATTTATAACATTAAAATATTTAGGTCCATCTCTTTTCCTCATTTTTTTCCTTGAGAGAGAAGCATCTCTATTAATCAGCAAATGTGTCTAAAACATTAAGTATGTTTCCTGTGACAAACAGCTCTAAAATGATTTGATTTTTTTTTTTTTTTTTAGAAAAACTTATTAGAAATAATGACATCCTTGTGCACAAGTTTGTGAGAGTAAACTTTACTCTTGTATTGACTTTAAGTCACTAACCAGTGTTCTTTCACCTGGTGAGTGCTGAGCCCTCCACCCTCTGCTTCCTCGTGTGTTGTTAGCATCTTGTTTTGTAGTGGTGCTCTGTAATATTGAGATGACAAGACAGAGTGTGGATAAAAAATGTATTTCAGTAAGATACATCTTCCTAAAAAATCTCACAGGTGGGCAAGGGTTTGGTCTGATGCTTCTCTTCTTACTCCTTTCATCTTGCTCTTGATGTTGGATTTCTTTCCTGTTGGCGCATGCTGGTGCTCAGCACTAGGAGTGTAAACCTGGCACTGAGAGGATCTAGGCTAATAATAATTTTGCCTGTCCTAGTGATAGAAGCAGGTAGACCTACATACTGTTGTGCCTCCCCCTGCCTTGTAGTGGCAGTAGAGTCTGCGCGTTTTGGAACTGAAGGCAGTACTTCAGTTCAGTACCTAATGATACAGGCAGCATCCCCAGCACCAAGAATGTGGTGTCAGTGGAGTAGCAGTGTTAATCCAAATACACCCATACGTCCCCAGCTTTCATTTGAGATGTAGGAGGCCTATTCACATCCCTTTCAGTCCTAGAATCTGAATTTGTTGATGCTTTCATAAGCGTTTAAATGCTGTATGGACCAAATCCTCTAAATAGAAATATTTGCATCAGAAAAGAAATAATTTAAATAAATCTCACCACCTTTGTGAAGTTGATCATATTTCTGTAATTGGAACTTAAAAAAAAAAATTATTGAGGTTTATCAAAGAACTCAATTGCAGGCAGTCTTCTGTAGTTTGTCGTTAACTTGTCATAAGGTGCTGTGTCACATAACATAGTTGTTCCAGTCTATTTCTGAGTGGGTTTGTAATATGAAATTTGCAAAGGTACTTTGGAATGAGAAATAAACCCAGCAAATTGCTCTCTTAGTTAACTATGTGTACGATCAATACTATTGAGATTTTGCTGAGTTTGGATCTTATTGCTTATTAAAATGCAGTAGAAAAAATATGCAAACAAATATCTTGTACTATTGCTTTCATCTGTGTAATTAGTAAAGACAGCAGCTCGTTGATTTACTGTGTAAAGTTTACCTTAACAAAACAGTACAATTTTTTCATACACTGGCCTCTAAGTAAGTACAAATGCTTAATGTCTTTCGCTGCTTATGCACCTTAAAATAAGAAGTTTTTCCCTTTGGAAGGGAATAACTGTTTTTGATCACCAGAAAAAGGGTCAAAACAGTACTACAGTACCTTCTTCCACAAGTTGAAGGGAACTCAGTAAAATTTGAGGTTTATATTTAGTGATATGATTATTTACCTCAGTGGCTGCCTTAAGGCTTTGTTGCTGTTATTTCTGTTAATTCCTTTGCTGATGAAAATGAATTTCTCTCAGTATCTTCTGAGCATGTTATCAGTAAGAATATTTACTGATTTGTTGCCAAAATGTTTACTGTTTGTGCCAAGGAGAAGGAAGTACATACTAATCTACAGATAGATAATTTCTTGAAGGCCAGCTATTTAACACAAGAGAATTAAACTTAGTATTCAAATGTGGAATTTCATAATCCTAGTTTTATGACGTCTGTTTTGTGAGCGTGGCTCTTCTAGTACTTCTGTTCTTTGATATTAATGTATTGGCTTTTCAGTATTTAGCAGCTCCTCCAAATGTTACTTTAGAATTTTTATGGGGGAAACCCCTTTCTCTTGCCATTTATGTAAGGAGATGTCTTAGTGAGGACATGCTTTCGATGAGTTCTTGGTTGTTTCATTCTTTTTGAGAAATCAACTGTTTTCTTTGATACTATGTACTTATTTATGCAATGCCTTTGATTTTTGAAAGTGCTAGAAGTTACTGAGAAACAGAAATTCCGTGTGAAATTCTCCTCATTCTGATTCATGATCTCAGTGGGCTGTTCTAACATCATGGTTCTCTGATTCTCTGAAAAACTACTGCTCTTAACCTGCTCAGTCCTGAGCCTTACAGTTAGGATTTCTAGGGATGTGCAAGTGAAAGACTGCAGTTCTGTTGCCACATGGCAAAGGATTTCATCCTCAAGACTGTCCTGGGTGAAGGGAAAAAATGATGTCCTTAGCTTGGCAAATTTGAAGTAGCAACCTGAACATATTTTTCTGTCAGTTCTTCTAATGTAATTTTTCATCCTTAAAAAACAAAACCAAAAACGATCCCCCCCACACACAAGGCAAAACAAAAAGAAACAAAACCAACAACAGAATACTCCATCCCATAATAAACTATTAAGTAAAGATTAGTAATACAAAATCTAAATTGAATTGAGCCCATTTGAATTTTCTTTTTCATTGACTGTTTTCCCTCTTTCCATCTTCTTTGGAAAAGTTCTTTCTTGGGTTTGAAAAAGTATATTTTATCAGTCTTGGTTGTTTTGAGATTGGAAGCATATATCAACTTGGAGACCAAAGGTATTGCTGGTGGAATGTCACTAGGGTCAGGCAAGGATGCATTTGGTTATAAATACCAATGGTGGGTTGCTACGTGGGATTTACTTCACGTAACAGGAATACTTATTGCTGTTATGATTGCAAGATCTTATTTAATATGTGCTTTACTTATTTAATATACACTGTAATTAATAAATACATATTTTCCTGGTATGCATTGATGTAAATGCTGCATTGAATTTTACTTTTATGCCAGCAATATAGGAATGCAGTAAAGAATGCAGAGACTTTACAAGTGGCCAAAAGGGTCTGTAGGAAAGCCTGTGTAAAATAACTTTTCAGCTATAGGAAGAACTTGATATTTCTTTGCTTCTTTCTTTTAACACGCAGAGGAAATGAAGTCCTAAAGAGGAACGTGTCTCTATTATGTCTTCAAATGAGCAGCTCTTTAATCCATGGCAAAAAAGTTGCTGTTACAACCTGCTTCTGCCATTATCAGATGGAATTCTTAAGAACCAGAGAATGTGGGAAGGTGTTATGCTGACACTGCCTGTTGCATGATCTGCACCTGTGCTGTTAATGACCAATTCCCACTGAAATCACAATGGCTTTCAGCAATTTTCTGAAATGCAGGCTTGTAGGATCAGCTTCCAAAGAGGATTAAATGCGCCTTTCCATGCAGGTGTAATGAAGCTTTATTTTCAAAGATTGCTGTAGCCCTCCAGCAACTCCAGAATTATCGGGCTATAGAATCAAAAGACACTTCCTTTCTGTTGGAGTATGCAGCTGGTTCAGGGATTTCCAGTATATCCTGTGGCAATTTTACTTGACACCTTTCATATACAGTGCATATTTGCCAGACTTAAATAGTACAGGAGTGGAAGAAATCACTTGATGTTGGCTGTGATTTAGAACATGACAGCTTAATGAGCATCATAAAACATTACCTAATGTTGTTTCTGTAAGTTGTATCAAAATGTTTATGCTGTTTGAATGGTTGCCAGAATGAATTTTATTTGGGAAACATTTCAGATTCTTCTCTTTTTGTTCTATTTTTAAAATATTTTATAGATAGGGATGGCGTGAAATCCACTTAGAAATAGCATGTCTTTTTAGGCTGGGTGGTGTTAACAATGTTGACTGTTTTCTAGCCAATTAATTTATTAAAGCTGTCTTAAGTTGAAGTTAATTGTGATAGGTAACACTTTAAATAATCTCACAAAATGAAAAGAAAAAAAATCAGTGTCCCCAAAAAAGTCCATGAGAAAGGTGGAAGGATTTCAGTATGACAGCATTTGATTTAGTTCCAGTTTGAGATGGTGTATTTAGCAGTTACTGTGTGTTGAGCTAGGGGTGAGTTTGGAGTCACCTACTCCAAAGTCATTCCATGGGAATGCGCTTCTTGAGCAAGTAGTGCTTCTTTCAGCCAGAACCAACAATCTTTTGTACAGCAGAGCACAAAGCAGTCTGCCTCACAGTCAGTGTTTGACAGCTAACTGCACAAGGAAAGGTGCTGCTGTACGGTAGATTTCACCCTTTGCTTGCTGAAGCCTCGTTTCCCTTGCTGTTGAGTGTATTGTGGTCCAGATTGTCTCTGGCAAGGTTTAGAGCGACAGTGGTAAACATATAACCTCTCCAGATCTTTTCTTTAAAACTCAAAAAGACCAGACCACTGGCAGGACTAAGCCTTTTCAAAGCTAAGAGTTCTAATTAATTATAGAATTATAAAATCCTTAGAGTTGGAAGGGACCTTTAAAGGTCATCTAGTCCAACCTCCCTGCAGTGAACAGGCACATGGACAGCTAAAATAGGTTGCTCAGGGTTTGATCCACCTTGCCTTGAAAGTCTCCAGGGACAGGGCATCAACCATGTCACTGGGCATTCGAGTGCCTCAGCACCCTCACTGTAAAGGACATTTTCCTTAAGTCCAACTTAAATCTCCCCTCTTTGAGTTTGAAATGATTTTCCCTTGTTCTGTTGCCACAGACCCTGCTAAAGAGTCTGTCCCCTTCTTTCCTGTAGCTCTCCTGTAGATACTCAAAGGCCACTGTCAGGTCACCTCACAGCCTTCTCTTCCCCAGGCTGAACAGCCCCAACTCTCTCAGCCTGTCCTCGTAGGACAGGTGCTCCATTCCACAGATCATTCTTGTGGCCCTTCTTCATATGCCCTCCAGCAGGTCCACAACTCTCCTATACTGAGGACTCCACATCTTGATGCAGTACTCCAAATGAGGCCGCAGAGCAGAGGGGCAGGACCTGCTGGCCATGCTACTTTTGATGCAGCCTGAGATACGGTTGGCTTTCTGGGCTGTGAGGGCACACTGCTGGCTCATGTCCAGCTTCCCATCCACCAGTACCCCCAGGTCTTTTTCAGCAGGGCTGTGCTCAGACCTTTCATCCCCCAGCTTGTATTGGTAATGAGGGTTGCTTTGACCCAGGTGCAAGATCTTGCATTTGGATTTGTTGAACCTTATGAGGTTCACCTGGGCCCACTGCTCAAGTTTGTCTAGTTCTCTCTGGATGGCATCCCGTCTCTCTGATGTGTTGACTGCGCCCCACAGCTTGGTGTCATCAGCAAATTTGCTAAGGGTGCACTCAACCTCCTGTCAATGTCATTGATGAAGGTACTGAAGGAGTATCATTCTTAGCAGAGACCCCTATGGGACACCTCTCATCACTGATCTCCATTACACATGGAGCAATTGATCTGCCCCACTCTCTGGACTCGATCCTGCAGCCTGTTCTTTATCCATCAAACACTCCACCCATCAAATCCATATATTTCCAATTGAGACAGAAGGATGTTGTGGGGTACTTAGTCAGAAGCCTTACTGAAGTCCAGACAGATGACATCAATGGCTCTTCCATAGATACTCCTGTGGAAATAATTCCAGTAATCCATGTGATGCTTTATGGCTTTTCTTTTTTTTGGTGGCTCTTTTTTTTTTTTTTTAATTAAAAAAATTGCTTCTGATCAGTGCTAGCTGCTCAATTCATTGGTTTCCTTATAAAAATAAGCCAGCATGCATTTAGGCCGAGAAGCAAAGAGATTTTTAGAAAAATAAAGGTTTGTTTCAGTTGTCTGGATTACTGTGTTAAACATTAAATAAAGCATTTTGATGATGTCTGTCCTTTTTAAGTGCCACAGTCTTTTACTGTAAGTGTTCATTTTAATTCTTAAAGTGCTGTGCGCATGAAATGCTTTACAGTTTTTGTACTAGCTGATGCTGTCAAGCAGATTTTGTCTTTTGGGCCAGTTAGGCAGGAGGAGCATAGGGGGAGTCAGCAGAGTCCTCCAGCACTTAACTGCTGTCCCTGTGTTCCATGTACAAGAACAGAGGTCATTGAAGTTCATCAATTAGCTCTTTGTTGTTGTGTTTTGAAACCTCAAAACTAAGCGACATCTGCCACTGAAAACCTGTTCTCCAGTAGGGCGTATCTAGAAGCATACTGTGGAAACCTCTCACAGGTAACAGCAATAGAAGGAACAGTTAGTTGCCTTTTTCCAGTGATGAGAAGCCTTTCGCTCAGTCATCATGGCCATCTGGATAGAAGGTTTTGCAGTGATATTAACCAGCTCCCTTGGATGCGCTCCTGCTAGTTCCATAGACTTATCTGAATTTAGTTGGTTTTAATGATTTCTGGCTCTGTCCTCCACTGCAAATGCTATTTTGCTCCTCCACGTTCTGCACATGGCCGAGAGGCTTGAGAGCAGACCTTTGCGTGAAAACCTTGACAAAATAAAGTGTTGAATGCCTGAGCCTTTTCTGTGCCCTTTGTGATGAAGTTCCCACTTCACAGAACGTGCATGATGATGTGTGTTTATTCTTTAAAACAGTGCTGTTAGACTTCCCTGTTTTCTGTCTGAGAGGCACAAATCCTAAGGAAAGATGAAAGGAGAAAGGTTGTACTTCAGACCTTTGCAGTGGGGATAGAGAGGAGACGAGGTAGCCTTCAACATGAGAGGAGGACTAAACTTGGTGGGAATCATAAGATCATGGTCATGATGGTGCTCGGTGGATTGGGCGGAGAGAAGCTAAAAATGTCCTGGAAAAAGAAATGGAAAGCAGGAAGAAAAGTGTGAGTTGGGAGGTCTGCAGTGAAACCCTTGCTTAGGTAGCTATAAAGATGATGCACAGAGGTGTGCTCTGGAGGAAAAAGGAGGCAGAGTCTGATCGTAGTCAGTGAAGGAAACGCAGGACAGTTGCAATGCTCTGGTAGCCTAGAACGTCGTATAGCTTTCATGTCAAACTCCTAATGTTGATGGAGCTACTACTACTGCTTTAAAAAAGAAAGTAATGTGATGCATAAAGGAAACATTTTTTGCTGCGACAGTGCTGATTTTAGCTTTACACATTTGTTTTTATGGGAGTCTATTTCCTTTTTACTATCTGTTGGCAGCAAAATAGCATCTATGCTTGGTGTGTAATCCTCGAGGGGAAAGAAGGAAATTGCTAATAAGCTGTATGAGAGTTACTATACGAGTGATGGATTTGCAGGTACCATTATTGAATTCCTGCAGATGCCAAGAAGCAGGGACTGAAAACCCATAGAAATGTAGTGTTGGGATTTTTTTTCATTATTACTGCATGCCATCAGAGGCAGATGTTGGTGGGATGGCAGCAGAGGTTGAACCTTCCCACTAATTTTCCATTCCATGTTGTTGCTGTGTGACAGATGGCAGCAGAGGGGCACTCTGACACAATGGTGGCTGACATGGAAGTGTGTGTAAAGCAGAGGTATGGCATCAAATTCCTCCGTGCAGAAAAATTTGCACCCACTGACATTCATCAACACTTGTGAAATGTTTATGGAGATCAGACAGTGCATGTGAGCACAGTGAGGTGTTGGGTGGTGCATTTCAGCCATGGTGACAGTGATGTCAAAAAGAAGCCACGTTCCAGATGACCATACAGATTTTTAAGAGCGTAGCTCTTGTTCATCTCTGTAGAAAAACAATAATAAAATGAAGTAAATGTGCAGCCACTCTGTTGCATGGAATGAATTGTTGTTCTTCCTTCCTTAATCTGTCAATGTCATTGCCTTGCTCACATGATCTTGCTTCTATTTGTGCTGTTCTGTATTCTTTTTTTTTTCCCCAATTATTATTTCTAATATATTAAAATATACAGTGTAACTACATTTATAATTATTTCAATATTATTATATCTATTCAGTGCCATAGAAGCTAGTAAACTTTTTTAGTTTACATATTACTGCTCACTTCTTAATCAGTGAGTTTTCCAAGTAAACTGGTAGAGTTTGTAGTTTTACTGTGTGATTTTAAGCAGCTAGCATGTCTTAAAGGTGGCTGTACTGTAGGAGTATGTACCAATAATATGAGATATCCATTTTTCCCCCTTGATAAATAACGGAAGCAGAAATTGCATAATTTGCTAACATAGATGTTAACATCATCTTATGTAATCAGCAAGAGCTGGCTCAGTTAGAGTTTTCTCTATTCTTCTGTCATCAAATCTTTTTTTTGTTTTGTTTTTTGTTTTAAGAATTTTTGTCTATTTAAAAAGAAAAACAAAACAAAAGCAAAACAACCCAAACCAGAACAACAAATACGTGTTGTGACATAAGTAAACAGCCTGGGACAATTTGGTAACCTTGTGTAACAGTGATCTCTCTTGTGCCTATATAACTTTAAGTGGTTTAAGTTCATCAGTCCATCAGTGCCGTGTTGCTGATAAAATTGCAGTACCAAATACCTCCCTGTAATTAGAGCAGTCTTCAGACTTGTCTACCTGCCCCTTTTCAGCTTGAAAGTTGTCCTACCCATCAAAGTAAGCACTTACTTATTGGAGGCCCAAATTCCTCTGCATTTTAAGGGGTGAACGTAGACCAGCTTATTCTTGACTTGCTGAATAATCATGACCCGGTCAAACTTGCTGAAGTATAAAACGAAGTTCACACATGCTTTCCTGAAACTTTTCCAAGTTGTATCTTTTACAAAAAACATCATCAGACAGCCAGTCTCCACTCTGTGAAAACCAGTTTCTTGCTGTGATTAAAAGTACCAAAATGCCATGTTGAAATCCTCTGAGGACCAAGGTGGTTGGCACTACTCATCAGCAAAATTAGCTTTTGGCACTCTTGCCAGCCCTCGGTCACAAACTCTGCCCAAATTCCAGGGAGAAATGGTAAGCAGGACTGATCTTGTTGTCCTGTTCCCACATACCAATACTTCAACTTGAAAAGGAAGCCTTATTGTTTATATTTAAGACAGCTAAACTCAAGGAGGTGGCATGAACTCCCTTTTCTACAAAGCTACCATATAGCAATGCACCGTTGCTACTAGCCCAAACAATGCGTGCGGTGCCACTGTGTCTGCTGTCGAACAATTTCAGCTTTCTTTTCAAAAGCATGCACACAGAATAGCCATGTGATTGCAAACCTAGTCTGTGTGCTTCAGTAAATAACCTCTCACTTATTTATGGCAGCGTGCAATTCTGAAATTATAGCATTTCTATCCCCTATGGACACAGCTTATTATTTGCTTGGTTACTTTACAATTGTGACTGCTTTTGCCACCCACTGCAGATCCTTCTTTGGTGGTTGTACTCAACCCCAAATTGAGGTGCTGGCTTTGTGTGATTCTGTAATACACAAGACTGTGCTGCCAGAGTTCCTGGAGCCCACTGTCTGTAAACTTCTTTTTGGACTGCAAATTTTTTCATCACGGATAGATACTTTTGGCTTTGGTTAATGTAATAATAGCATGAGACAGGTGTTGCTTACGAAAAGAACAGTTCAGCATGGACCCAGGATTACTTCCACAGCAGTGCATGCTGTCTTGCAAATCACTTTCTGTCTTTGTTTTCTGACAGTAATTCTTACATTAGTTTAAAGTAGCAGAGAGTTATGAGATTTGATGGTCTCTGGAGGAACAAACCAAAAACAAAGCAAGCAAACAGGCAAACAAAAAGCCCCAAAACCCAAACCCAAAAAAACTCCAGCATTCACTGGTGAAAGCGTGCCAGTTCTGTCTTCCCAGGGCACCGTGATAAATGGGAGATGGAATATGCTGTATAAAATGTCTTGGGAGAACAAAGCAGTTCATAGGAGGCCTGGGGCTTTTCTGGCTGTGTCAAAGCTGTAAATACTCATTAAGCCACACATTTTCTCATATGTGGACGTGCACACACACACACGATAGAAAATAGAGCTTGGGAAATGGACTTCTGCATTGGAACGCCTGAATATTGTCTGTAGGAGGTGAGGTAGGTTAACTCTCTTTTGCTCCAATTCAGAGATTGGACGTCAGAAACTATAGAAACCAGAATTACAAACTCATCATTTGGCAGAAGAATTAAAATTGTTTCTAGTATTTCGTTCTGAGATTAAGTGGCTTAAATCTCTTTATGGAACCCATTTGGAAATTATTGTCTTTCAGTGCTCTGAGAAAGCCTTGCATTTGGAGAGTGAGTCTCTTCCTGAAATACCTTAAGTGAAGTACAATTAATTTCCTCAATAGCCTGGTAAGGCTGTAGGAATCTCGACTGCTCCAGATGCAGAAGGTTGTGGTTCCTGCTGAAAACCCCATCCCCCCCAGCATGAGGGACTCTGGCAGTGCTGGTAGGTGCTGTGTACTCCTGGAGCACAAAGGGCTATGCTTTACTCAGCACACAACAGATCAATGTTCATGTGTCCCTGGCTTAAGTCCTGATCAGTCTCTTCCATTCCTGTAGTGCAGGTGAAGGAGAAGCTCCAGCTTACAGGAGCAGCCTACCTGCTGTACTAGGCTGTGTGTGCTTGTGCTCTCAGCCCTCGTGTTAGCACAGCAGGCTCAGCTGCAGTGCTGTGCTTCTGTGGCCTTTCCTTTGCAGTTTGGCAGCCAGTTTTACCTCATCTGGCTCGTGATCTCTGCATTGCAACCCGTGGAGAGGTGTAGGCTTGCCCAGAGACACAAGCTATTTAGTTTATAGGTTGAGAAATTGAATTAATTACTTCTAGGACCAAATGTGAATTATAAGTCTTCATATAATGTAAATCCTACTCAGGAAAATTAATGCTATCATATAACACTAAGCCGAGGAGTGGTCATTATTCATCCCTCTAGAATAGATACAGTCAGAGAGTCTGAGAAGGGGATTAACACAGCCAGGGGAGTGTTCTGAAGGTGATAGATCAACGTCACGTTCAGAAACCATGAGTCGAGCCTCCCACAAATCATAATAATAAAGTTGGGCTTTTTTGTTGTTTTGTTTGTGATTTTATTCCAGTTTCTTTTTGAATTCTTTAGTTTTTTTGGCTTCATACTGTGTTTTTCAAGAGAAATGTGGAGCTACTGGAGGAGAGAGTCCAGAGAAAAGCCATGAAAATGATGAAGAGCCTGGAGCACCTCTAATGTGAGATGAGGCTGAGTGAGCCGGCACTGTTCAGCCTGGAGAAGAGGAGGCTCAGAAATCTCATCAGTATCCATCAATAATGGAAAGCAGAGTACTGAGAGGATGGGGCCAGGCTTTGTTCAGTGGTGCTCAGTGCCAGGACGAGAGGCACAGATCGTGGGCACACACTAGCACACAGTGGCTCACTCTGAACACAGGGATCAATTCTGTGCTGTGTGGCTGCTAGAACGCTGGTTACCCAGAGAGGAGTCTCCTTGGAGATCCAGAAAACACCTGGACATGGTCCTGGGCAGCATGGTCTGGATGAGCAGGGTTTGGGCCAGACTATTTTCAGAGATGTCTTCCAACATGAGCTGTTCTGCAATTCTAAGATAACAACTTGATAGAAATCTGTCTGTATGACTGAGCAGGCATGCCACTGATGCTTCAGTTGTGCATTTGTATTTGCAGTCAGCTGTACGGAGGGGGCTGTTTCATCAGCGAGAGCTGTGGGTGTTGACTGCCATTTGGAATAAGCCAGAAAGACTGATAAAATTAACTCTGTCAGTTACTCCTACACACAGAATCCCTGAAAGGTGCTTTTCTTCCACTGTCACTTTCTGTAACTCCTTGTCAGCCTATTCACCTGCAGTTATCCAACGTGGGCACAAAGGCAGGTAAATTCCAGTAGGAGGGGTGAATCTTGTAATGCTGAGTGTTTCCAAGCTGTGTAAGGGTTTCGGCTTCTTTGCTAATATTAGACAGTTCTGCAGATCTGAATTTAAAAATGTTATTTATAGATAAAAATGGCATTCTATTACATGCCTGTTATTTGAGTCATTTTCTTTCCTTTTCTGTTCACTAATATGCAAACAAAGTAACACAGTTGTTGCTGCCTTTGTTTTTACGTGCGTTTGTGTGGGACTAGAGTGGGAATAGAAATTGAATATAATTTTTGTATCAAATGTTCTTGTGGAAGAAGCAGAGATAATAGAAGCACTGTAGCAACACCTAGGTTGTAAGCAATTACCCATACTGTGTAAAGAGCTGCTGACAGCACAGCCCCTGCTGTTGTTTTTCCTTGCCTGTGTTTCCCAAATAGTCAAAATTAAATTAAAAATCTTTGGCAGGTATTGCTGCTGTGCTGGAGGAAATGCAGAATACATAAAGTATTCATATTCAAAATACTCATTTATTAAAAAGAAAAGAGTACTGCTATTCTGAGAGTACTTGGTAGCTGTTAAAACTTGCCCTAATAAATTGTGGAGTCTGTGTGGTCACTGCTGCTGGGGCTGTGTCAGCAGGTTGGGAATGGCAGCAGCCAGGCAGTGCTGCAAGTTTCTGTGCTTTGTGGACACTGACATATCGAGTATGGTGATAGTCAATCATGGGACTCTTTTTCTAGCAAAACAAAGGTTTTCACTTCTCGCTTTTGTGCTGGTTGTCAGGAGGCAATTTTTGTGTTTTCCTTTTTTTAGCATTTCACAACAATTTATTATTTTTATCTTAAGAACTGCATATCCAGCCACCCAGCGTGGGTGAAAAATAATGCCCCACCTCCCAGGTCCTCCAAATCCTGAAGGAATTGTTCTGAAAAATAGTGGAGATTTTTTTTTTTTTTACTGAACTGCTTTGAGACTTGGCAGCCTCCGATGACACAGGGACGTGCACATAATTTGGTCACAGTGCATGAACACATAGCCACTGAACTGAGAAATTGAAGTACGACTCTAAAGGTAGAGAAGTAACCATTGGGTACAGTGAAGCTTGTATCTCACTTATCAGTGTTGGTGACTGCACAGTGGTAGTTTAAGTGGAAAAGTGCTTACGCAATTTTACTTCTATTAATGATTTTATAAGAAGGAAGGAAGGATTGTTTATTAGTTTTCTCTGAAACCTCTTGTTCTAGTCTTTATTTTCATATTAGCTCGTGGGCTCTTCCAAAGATAATGGGATCTCATGAACCAGTTTCACAACTGGTATGGGTCTACATGAAACACGGCTGTATTGAAACGCACAGTGTACTTGTTTAACAGTTCTGAAACCCCCTGGAACTAATTAAGTATTGATTTTAAAAATTAAAGCATTGAAACTGTAGCCCTCTACAGCATGAAATCCCAACCAAACATTTAGGACTTTTCCATATATCATACAGAAATAGAGCATACTAGTTTAATTTATTTGTCATTTATTGTGTCAAATATTTGTGTAGAGATCATAATCTGAAAGGTAATTATGTGTTGATTGCTAATCTGTCCTTCACTTTGAATTCATGGACATTTTCCTATGACTTTGACATTTGAAAGTCTGTGAAAACATTTTAACCCTTTGAATAGAGTAGTGCTTACTGCCTCTCACTCCTCTTCAGAGTGCCCAGCACCACACCAGTCTCTTCAGTGAATAAAATACTGGAGTTTGCTCTCTCTCTGAAGCCTTTCGAGAGTGTTCTTGGCAGCTGCCTTGAAAGGTCTGCTGGAGATGGGAATGAAATGCTCCCTGCTTCCTCCAGACAGAGCTCTGTAAACAAGTGGTGAGCCTCTGCTTGGCAGTGCATCGCTGCCCATGGCTGCCAGCGTTGTGGGGACACAAAGCAGCAGTGATGCGTGGCAGAACACACAATATCCCCTTTTCGGTCTTTCCCTTACTTGAATTACACATTGCTATAAGATGAAGGTTCTTGAAATATTCCTTTGCTTCTGCAAGATGTATTAAGAGTATGCTAGGCTTTGGTCTGATGTGCATGTCAATTATCAGTGGTGCATTTCACTAAACCTGTGGGTTACGGTAAGCCAGTGGGAAGGACTAATGTATGGCTGGAGTAGGTTAGTCTACATCTAACATGCTTTGCTGTCATTTAAGCTAAAGAACAAAAACATTTTGCAGCAGTTTAGAATCACTCTTTTAAAAGAATCAATGCAGCAGGTTCTCTCTCCATTTTTTTCTTTTCTCACCATGGGACAAACTTGGATTTGAAGGTCTGTCTTTGCTTAGAGTTTTGAGTTCATTATAAAAATGGTGCTAAATATTCCTGTTTTTCAGCCTTTAGATCTACGAGTTCTTCTGTGCTGGGGCATGCAGTAACCCTGATAGTAGTTGAAAGGTGAGGATTCTTCTCCTTGAACTAAAAATGGGCCATTCAGGATTGTGATCAATCAGGTTCTCAGTAGGATCACGACATGCTTTGACACTTGTACAAACATTTGCCTGCTTTACATACTCAGTGCCTGTATGCTCTGTGCAGCCATATGTCTCACAGCTAGTGTTCAAAGCAGTCATGTCTGCTTTATTTAAATAAAGCCACACATAAATATAAAATGTATTACTTCTTGTGCTCTTTTAAAATAGAATATTTTAAAATACAGTGATTGTCTTCACATATCTTTCAGGTTACTCACTCAAACTCGTTTGCCAAGAGTGAAAGTCATGGCTTCAGACTGCAAAAAACCTTTTTGACTAGCTCACACATAATGAAAATTTCAATTTGTGGCATTTAATTTTTTTTCCAGCTTTAAAGAAATCATGTTTTTAATATTTTAGGGCTTTCTTCTGTAACTAACTGTTTAATTTTTTCTTACTGGGTACTAACAAGATTACAGTCTTATGAGCTTAAAAACGAAGTTGGAAGAACAGTAGTGTCTTCTTGGCTGTTAATGCTAAATGAGCAAAGTTCTTGGTGTTCCATTCATGGAAGCCCAAGGATTTGCTTAACTTAAAACACTTAAAAAAAAGAGTTATTTTTCTCTGCTAGTAGATAGTTAATACAGAGTAGCACATACAACAATGGTGTTGTGATTTTGTTTGTTGAGGAGCTGAAGTGCTGCTGGGCGGTGGGAGGCCTCACCGTGGTGCCATACAGCCGTGGTGCTGAGCGAGCTGTGCCTGGCAGCTTGCACCTCCCACCCCACTGGGCTGCTGTGTTGTTGGTTGAGGTGCTTCCCCAGTCACAGCTGCAGCTGCTAGCATTGGGGTGCTGCCTTGGAGGAACGTGCTGTGTGCTCCCCAGTGCTGAGCTTCGGTATTACCTGGAAACAGGGTGGTTTAACAAAAGTGGCAGAGCAGCGAGGTGGATATTTACTCATGTAGGCCAACAGAAGGCCAGTCACTGTTGCTAGTGTGTTTCTGCTGCCTTCCACCTGTGGTTGTCCACATAGCATAGCTGGGCTCCCCATGCAGATATTATCAAGTTGTTTCACACCAGAAGAGTATAAAATTTTCTGTAGTCATGTCTTCCAGAATGCCTGTGTGGTACAGCTCTGCAAACACAGTAACTAATGATTTCTTCTTATCAAGTTGCTCACAATAGCTGTGGTCCTTAGAGGCCATGTTGCCAGAATTTGCAGTTAACAAGCTTTATCATCACTGGCCAACATCTCAAAAGTGTACAAAGGCAATAAGACATTGCTGGGCATATATTATTTTTGGACAACTGTGCTTTTAAAGTGCTTTGGAGCGGAGGCGCAGGATTTGCATGTAAATTGGTCTGACACATCCTCTCCTCCCCCTGTCCTCCTTCTGCTGGAAGAAAAGGAAAAGCTCCCAGCACGACATACATAATTATTAGAACACCATGCAACTTTCTGTGGTGGGATAGACAACAACCACTATGGAAAATATGGGAGAGGGAAATGCTCCCCATGTAGGTGTCCTCTGTGACACATCAGAGCTGCGAGCTGCAGTGCCCTGACAGCAGGGCAGTCAGTAAACCCCCATTTCCAGCCCTCTCTTGCAGGAATCACTGGTTTGCTTCTGTTTGTGATTGTGTCTAGTGCTGGTCCTTAGCATCTAATTATTTAGAAGAGCTGTTGCAACCTGGAATGTAATGCAACAGGGAGAGCAGATACTTCAAATCAGCATTATGGCAAAAGTATATAGTCCTTCATCACTGTAGGAAGACTGCAATCACTCAGAGTGTGAAACTTGCTCCTGCAAAAGTGAATTTGCTGGTCCTGAGTGGCAGATTGGCTCTTCATTCACAGGGAAGAAGCAATGGTGAAAAAGCCAAAATGCATCCAAAATAGTTTAGGCTTAGCATCTTAGAACAAGGAAAGAGCAAATCCATCTACCAGCAAGAGATATTGCTGGTTATTCTTGAATCATCACAATTATATTACTCTAAGGTGTTCATTACTCATTCCTGTAGAAAGGAATAAGACTATAGACTTCCTTGTAGACTTTTCTAGGATGTACCTGGTCTATTTATATTCTCTTTTTTTCTTGTTTTTATTTATGCGTTCTCACATAGGTTTATAATGTTATAAAAATACTAGACAGTAAGTTGTTTTTCCCCACTTTTGTAGCTGTCTCCTAAACCACTCACTCATTTCTTTAGTTAAAGAAAGAAAATATTCAAAATAGAGGATTTCTTTTTCATCATCTACTGTTTTTTTTTCTTTTTTTTTTTTTCCTGCTGTGAGGAGAGACCAAAGAATATTTATGTAATGGACTCAGTGTGTCTAAAACAGTATTCTTCTCAACTCTATAGAGGACATATATGATACTGAGGATTAATCCTAAATATGTAAATGTCTTCCGCTCTTTAAAATACTTCATGTCTAAAAAAACCCACCTGTTTCACTCCAAACGTAAAATGCCAAGACGAATTTGAAAATTCTCAACAAAGAGTAAGAGCTTTGTGATTAGTTTTGGTTTGTTTGTATGTTTCCCTTATTTGCCTTTTATGCAAAATGTCAGCAGAGTTTTAACTTAGGTGCTCAAATTTGGATGCCATGTGCATCCTGCAAAATCTCAGGTATTCTGACTCTTCAGGTAATTTAAAAGAAGTTACAAACTGTATTTTTCAAAAAGGTGAAGACGATTTCTTGTTTTCAGATGTATCCTTGGACTCACCAAAATTCATGTTAATCACAGTGGGATTCTTGTACCTTTGAAAGGTTCATATAGTGAAAGAAGGGTCGAAAAAGGAGTGTAGAAATAACTGTGCTCAATGGTTTGGAGCACTGAGGCAGTAATATGTAAGTAATCATGGTAGTGTAGTTTCCTGCTTTAACAAACAAGGCATTATAGACAAAATTCTTACAGTTTTAGACAGCAGAGAATGCAGACTTCTCACATACTCGCTGAAGACTGATTGCTTGGTTGAGAATCAGAAACAAACAGGTTTCCTGATGACATGCAATGTGCTAATTTAACCTCCTGGCCCCTTATCTTAGACAACAACCTCAGTATGGGCTCTTAGGTTTTCCCCAGATGAAAAATCCTTAGTAACTTCTTTGATCTGATTCATTTTCTTGGAGCAGTGGTAGCTTACAGAATTAAAAACAGACAAATAGACATAACAAATTTCAGTTGGAATTAGTTATGCTTCTTTTTTTCTTGGAGATGATAATGCTTGAAGTATTTACTGTTAAATAGGAAACAGTATTTCTCCGATCATCACTTGGCAGCGTTTCCTTTACATTTCATGGTAGTAGCATCTATCAGATGAAAAGCCAATAAAAATTTAATGTGCCTTGTATGAAGAATTCTGCTTGTTTTGTTTTGTTTTAAGTTGTTAGTATAGTGGATTAGATAATAATTAAATTTTAATATATATTTTTTTCGATTTTATTTTGAGTTTGCCTGTGTGAGCCTTCAATCATGATGCTACATGGCAGTCTGTCTATCAGTATCTCTTTGCACACTGGAAGTGAAAATGAATGATATTCTTTCTGAAACTAGTGTACCTTCTGTTAAAGTCAACCCAAAATATGATGCGTATGTATGTACCATTTATATATGATGCATACGTAGCCAGAAACTAAATGGGCATGATTTGTCTGTCTTTCTTAGAAAGAAAATAAAGTGTGAATCAAAGCAGGAAAAAAGGGGGAAAAAAATGTTTCTAACATAAATTAGTTGGCTTGTTTCTACAAAGGGCCCCAGGATATTGTAAGCTGTGTGTAAAAACAGCAGTATACTTGGCACACGCATTGCACCTGTGAGTTCAGAATAACTTTATGGAAACTGAAATAACCATTCTAAAAATATATTAGAGGTCATACCTTTTGAGTTCTGGAAATAGCGTACAGTGTGGGACAGCTCTTTTCCAGTGGATCACAGCTTCTGTGGATCACAGCGGTAAAGGTATGGTAGCAAGAATGGAAAATACCTGTAGATTAAGGCCAATCTGTTGTCAGTGCTCTTTCTAGGAGTTGTCTTTGTACAGCCTATAGAAAATGATTTGTGGTGCTGTGAACTCAAAGTGCAGATGAATCCGCTAGGTAGTTTATTTTAGTTAATGGAACTAACAATGTAATGTAATGTAATGATGAGAAAAGCTATGAGCACATTGATGTAACGTGTCCTTTTCTGGATATGTTGAATTGAAGAGCTCAGATGTTTGATTTACAGTAAAACAGATAGAGGGAGGATCAGGCATTTTTGTTGTTAACGTACTGTCTAAGGCAGAGAATTTTACTTCGAAAAAGGGAAACTTTGATCAGATGAGTATGGTTTGTTTTTCCTAACCTGGGAGCTAATGCATAGTAAGAGCAAAGAAGTGGAGTTGGATTACAAACTACCTCATTTAGACCGTATAAAATCCAAAGTGATTAAAGCCAGCTTCAGATGTCTTGTGATACTCTGTAAAATGAAGGTAGTTGGCTAGTTAACTAACTTTTCTATGTTTTTATAAGTCTAAAAACATTCAAACAGTTCGCTTGTCAGTATTGGTTTTACTGCATGCAGACATTTCTCACATTCAGGTTAAGCTATTTTTTCCCAGTTATTAGAATGAACTTATTTCATCACTTAGTCACATTGTGATTTGCACTGCTTTTCATTAGGGGAGGTTTCTGTATATAGGCAGGATGCAGTGGCTAAACAGGCTTTTGGAACATGAAAATGTAGATTACAATCGGTGTAAGTCAGCCTTGACATGAGCTTCCTTTAACCCCCTCTGACTATTGTCACAGCTTCCCCCTATTCAGCTTAGAAGTTGTTGTTCTTTGCATGCAACCAATAGATGATATTGATAGATCAGCAAATACCGTTTTTCTGTTTCATCTCTGGTAATACAGAAATACCACTCAATTCTGTAATGAAAAGATTGCTGTTGTACGGCCTTCAGAAATGCAACAAATTACCACTTGGGGGTAAAGTTCCAGCAACCTCTTCTTTCTTTAATTTGTTAAAGAAATTACAACTTTTTGAAAATTTGATACTCTTAGAAAGAGAATAAACACTGCATACCAAACTTACGCAGGAGGAATGCTCATTCAGTTTTAGAAATGCTGTTAAAAACAATGCTGCCAACTATCTGGTTAATTCCTCTTCACTTATAGAATTGCCAGTGTAAAAGTGTGGAAGTTTGGAGCCCTCACAGTATAGGCATTGTGAAAGCTCCTCTGCTGTTTCTAGGAAGATGTTTATGTCCTCTTTTCTTCTAGAGAAGAAGTAGGTGCACTAGAGGGTTAACACTCTGACACGCTGAAGTGTCTTAATTAAGGCTTGGCAAAGAGCCACGGGCAGTAGAAAATGCTTGTGCCTGAGACAGCAGCAGTCACTGGTAGCTGGAGCCTCTGGCAAGGTCTCATGCATTCAGGAGCACTCTGTGCTTGTGCCTACCTGTTGTGGGAAAGCCAGATGCCGTCCAGACCTGAAACAAAGCCGACGAGCACTTTCCCATCCAGCTTTGCCATTGTATCCTTAAAAAGAAGGGATGCAGGGTTGCAGAGAGCAGTGGAGATACCTGTCAGTAATAGCTGTTCTTTTGCTGTACATAGCTGCCTGCAGTTAAAGGAGGAGCTAGTTAAAACTGCAGAGCAAATCTCTTCTTGCAAACTGTCAAGAATGAGAAGAATATTTGCGTGAAAATGGGAAAATGGGAGAACTTGGGAGTTTGAGAAGATTTTAAAACACAGGAACTGTGATGATACTTTCAAGATTGGGAATTACTGCATTTTTAAAAGAAAATTGATGATTTATTTATATGAATTATTAATTCATACTGGTTTCTCAAGATTGTCATCTACTTATAGTCTAACAATAACAATCGGAAGGAAAAGTAGTGTCAGCTGGTCCAGTTAAGCATATATTGTCACAAGATTGGCAGCTGGATGATACTGGTTAAATAAACCAGTATCATAACCAAACTTGTTATTTAAAAACCAAACAATAAAACTGCTTATAATTTCAGAACTTGCTTGTTGAATCTTACAGTGAGAAGTACAGAGATGGAGACTTGTGATAGGAGTTAGCCAATTAACACTGAGCATGTATAGGCACATACTCAGAGAGGCAGCAGAAGTACTACACCTCAAGTTGGTATGTTTGTAGAATGCACAGTAAGGCACATATTTCACCTTTTTTTAGCAAACTGATATTGTAGGACTGTACCTTTCGGTCTGTGTCAGTGTCAGTCGACTTCCCTTATGCCTCTATTTGAAAAGAGGAGAAATGTGTTGAGAGAGTTTCCAAAGTTGCAAACAGTAGTGAAGCTTTTCCACCTCTCACTGAATTTCAGTGGAAATTCAGTGCCTGTACCAGTCTGTGAAGGCCTGAACGTCATCTCCTCTGGAGGTATGACAGCATTAATCACACGTTGTAGTCTGACTCTACTGAACCTTAGAGCTAAAAATAATCCTTACTAGTTAATGCTTAATAATAAGTAACAAGATTGAATAAAAAACATGCTTGTGTGTATCTTTAAGTCTCCATGTGGAGCATCATCACCTTAGGGACTCTAGCATGTGGTAGATTGTGTCAGTAGCTGCTGCAAGTCACAGCAATAGAAGCCCGTCTAATTAGTTAGGTGTTGAACTGTCATTTAATCCCTGCCACCAGTAACCTGCTCCAGTCACATCTCATTGGAGTGTTTCTCAGGTTTTCAAATGTGCAGTTCCCCATTGAGGAACTGCAGAGAAATGCCTTGCCTGTATCAGTCTGGTGGGTGCCCTGTAGGCCTGTTCTGCACTATTCAAGTAGGTTCTGGTTGTATGAAGGGAAATCTTAAAAAGTCAGAGGTGAATTACAGTCTGTGGTATGCTCTGGTGAAAACTCTTGGAAGTTGGTAATGACCCTAGAAAGACTATTTCCTGTTGTGTGTGTCTTATGTATCCTCCTCACGAGTTTGTCTCTTCACCTGCATTGATTCATAGGAACCCAGTGGCACCTTCCAAAGTTCACACTGTAGAGCAAAAAAAGGCCTGTTCCTATGGCACTTACAGTGCCTACACAATGTGTTTTATTTCCAGTTTAGCTGAACAGAGGAGAGTGACAGTCAAACTGTTGCCAACTACAAATCAGTTAGACTATTAAATTGTAATGAATGTTGCACGTTTTCATATTTCTTGTTTTGTGGAGCAGTAGTCATATGGGTTTGTAAAAGTTAATGGTGAGTGAGAAACACATCTTACTACCAACTCCTCATACACGAACAGGTAAAACATGGCACAACAAGTTGCAACAGTGAAGTAGGAATCAAAATCCTGTGTGCAGTGTGGATGTTCAGAATCAGCATGTGTTGTGGGGAAAGGGCCGGCATATTTTCTGCAATGTGCTTTTGTATTTTATGACCAAAGACCAGTGTGGTGGTTCCTGTGTGTGTAATGTTGTGTTATATGTGGCTCAGTACAAAGTGAATATGTATGTCTAGAGGATTGAATGAGTGTGGTGCCATTTTAGACCAACTCAAGTACTTGAAACACTAATTACGGACACTATCTATCTTTGTACTATGATGTAAATGTTGTAGTGCCATTTTAACTTCAGTGAGGCTTCATAGCATATAAAGCTTGGCAAATTTGGCCCTCACACAGATCTGTGCTTTGTGTAGCAGTATTATATTCGGGTGACTTCCCCTTCAGTTAAGGGGAAGTGAATTCAAAGGTGGAAAATACAACACTTGATCTTTGGCATTGTTGTATAATTGCTGGTATTTTATATAGCACTTTTGCTGCAGGCTTCTATCCACAAAGAAAGCAAATTCCTCCCTGTTCAGGGCATTTTCTCTTTAAAATCAGACATTGAAGCAAGGAAAACAAAATTACAAGGACCAAAGTTTGAAAAGACAAATAAATCCATCTATATTTAATCTAATTCATTTTTAAATAGAGCAGAAAATCAGCCAGGCAGTCATTGGTTACAGTGGAGTTCTGGAGCTATAATATTCTTGGGAACAAGCTGGCTGGGCTGGTTAGCAGGGCTTTAAACTAGATATGATGGGGGAAGGAGGTGTACTAGGTGACAGAGAAGAGTGTGGGAACACCGTCACCTTGGGAGGTGGTAAAGGAAAACCCCAGACTTGTCCTGGAGGTACCAGGGCGGGCTACTGGCAATGAGGCCAGTAACTAAGCTGAAATGCCTCTATACCAATGCATGCAGCATGGGAAATAAACAGGAGGAGTTAGAAACCGTGGCACAATTGGGAAAGTATGACCTAATTGCTATCATGGAAACATGGTGGGATGAATCTCATGACTGGAATACCCTGATTGAGGACTGCAGACTTTTCAGAAGGGATAGACAGGGTAGGAGGGGTGGCGGAGTTGCCCTCTATGTTAGGAAGTGGATAGATTGTGAAGAGCTGTGTCTGAGGAACAGCCACAATCAGGTCAAGAGCTTGTGGCTAAAAATCAAGGATCGGTCCAGCAAAGGGCATCTAGTGGTTGGGGTCTGCTACAGGCCACCTGATCAGGAGGAGGCTGTTGATGAGACCTTCTTGCTTCAGCTGCAGGAAGTGTCATTCTCGTGGGCTCTTGTCCTGATGGGGGATTTCAACCACCCGCATATCTGCTGGGATAGTGGCATGGTGGGTGGCAGACAATCCAGGAGATTCCTGGAGTCTGTCAAGGACAACTTCCTTGTCCAAGTAATAGATAGACCAACCCGAGGTGAAGCCTTACTGGACCTGCGCTCACTAATGCAGAGGAGAGCATTAGAGAGGTTAAGATTGGAGGCAGCCTGGGCTGTAGTGACCATGCCTTGGTGAGTTTGTGATCTTCAAGAATGCGGGCCTGGCAAAAAGCAGAGCTAGGACCCCGTGCTTCAGGAGAGCAAACTTCCAGCTGTTCAAGGAACTGCTGAGTGGGATCCCCTGGGAAATTTAAGGGCATGTCCTTAAGGGCATGGGTACAAAGCTGGCAGCTCTTTAAGGACATCCTTCTGAGAGCGCAACAGCTTTCCAGCCCTCAGCAGAAGTCGAGCAGGGGAGGCAGGCAACCGTAATGTCTGTGTAAGGACCTGCAGCTTAAACTGAGAGAAAAGAGGGAAATGTACAGAAAGTGGAAGCAGGGTTGTGTATTCTGGGAGGAATACAGGGCTTTTGTCTGTGTGTGTTGAGATAAGATTAGAAAAGCCAAGGCACAGATGGAGCTGAACTTGGTGAGGGATGTGAAAGATAGCAGGAGGGGTTCTACAAGTACATAGGCAGAAAGAGACAGGCCAAGGAGAGTGTTCCCTCTCTGATGAAAGGTAGCAGGGAGCTGGCTTCCTCAGACATAGAAAAAGCTGAGGTACTCAGTGAGTGCTTTAGCCTCAGTCTTTACGGGTGGTCAGGCTTCCCGTGTCTGACAGAACTGTGAGCCTTTAGGTGAGGGCGTGGGGAGTGGTGTCTGTCCCACTGTAACAGTGGAACAAGTCTGAGTCCTCCTCAAGAAATTGAATGTGTGTAAGTCAATGGGGCCAGATGATATCCATCCTAGGGTTCTGAAAGAGATGGCTTATATGGTTGCTGAGCTGCTCTCCATCATATTTGAAAAATCATGGATGTCTGGTGAAGTCCCTGGTAACTGGGAGAAGGGAAACGTTACTCCCATTTTTAAGAAAGGGAGAAAGGAAGACCCGGGGAACTACAGGCCGGTGAGCCTCATGTCTGTGCCTGGGAAGATCATGGAGCAGATCCTCCTATAAGCTATGTTAAGGCACATACAAGATAAAGAGGTGATTCAAGACAGTCAGCATGGCTTCATCACATCTTGCCTGACCAGTCTGGTGGCCTTCTATGATGAAGTGACAGCTTTGGCAGACAGGGGAAGGGCGGTGGACATCATCTACCTGGACTTCTGCAAGGCCTCTGACATGGTCCCTCACCACATCCTTCTTTCTAAATTGGGGAGGTGTGGATTTGAAGGATGGACTGTTTGTTGGATTAGGAATTGGCTGTCTGGTTGCAGCCAAAGGGTTCTGATCAATGGTTCTGTGACAGGTTGGAGGCTGGTCACAAGCGGTGTCCCTCAGGGGTCAGTCTTTGGACTGGTGCTCTTCAACGTCCTCATCAGTGACATAGGTGTTGGCATCGAGTGCATTCTCAGCAGGTTTGCAGATGACACTGCTGAGCTGAGCGGTGCAGTCGATACAATGGAAGGAAGGGAAGCCATCCAGGGGGACCTGAACAGGCTGGAGAAGTGGGGCCATGAAAACCTGATGAGTTTCAATAAGGCCAACTGCAGGGTGCTGTACTTGGGTCAGGGCAATCCCTCTTCTTATGTCAGATTTTCCAGATTAGCTCTGGAAAAACTCTTTCCTACAGCTATCTGGTGACAGAAAATGCATTTTTATTGTGGAATCTTAACTTGTGCCAATATTCCATCGCTCACACAGCACAGAAGTGCTTCCTGATGGTCAGAGGCAACCTCCTGTGTTCTAGTTTGTGTCTGTTGCATCTTGTCCTGTCAATTTAAGCTTGTGATAGTTTGCCGAGTGCCAAAGAGATGGACTTTGTTCCAGTGTCGAACTGGAGTTGTTTAGCATAGGATATTCCCTTGCAAAATCATAGAATCATAGAATGGTCAGGGTGGTAAGGAACATTAAGATTGTCTAGTTCCAACCCCTCTGCTATAGGCAGGGACACATCCTCTAGACCAGGCTGCTCAAAGCCCCATCCAACCAGACTTTGAATGCTTCTAGTCTGAATTTATCCTCTACCAGTTTAAAGCCATTTCACCTTGTCCTGTCACTACCTGCCCTCCCTCCCCAGCTTTCCTCCCTCCCCAGCTTTCCTGTAGGCTCTCTTCAGGTATTGGAAGACTGCGATAAGGTCCCCCTGGAACCTTTTCTTCTCCATGCCGAAGAGCCTCAACTCTCTCAGCCTGTCCTTGTAGGGAAGGTGCTCCAGCCCTCAGATCTTCTTCATGGCCCTCCTCTGGACCTGGTTCAACTCCATGTCATTCTTGTGTTAAGGGCTCCAAAACTGGATGCAGTACTTCAGGTAGGGTCTCATAAGAGCAGAGTAGAGGGGCAGAATCAGCTCCCTCACCCTGCTGGTCACACTTCTCTTGATGCAACCCAGGATATGGTTGGTCTTCTGGGCTGCAAGTGCACACTGCTGGCTCGTGTTGAATCTTTCATCAATCCACACTCCAAATCCTTCTCCTCAGGGCTGCTCTCAAGCCACTCTCTGCCCAACCTTTATCTGTGCTTGAGATTGCCCCAACCCGGATGCAGGACCTTGCACTTGGCCTTGTTGAACTTCATCAGGTTGGTATAGGCCCACCTCTCAAGCCTGTCCAAGTCCTTCTGGATCGCATTCCTTCCCTCTAGCATGTCAGTTGCACCACTCAGCTTGGTGTCATCTGCAAACTTGCTGAGGGTGCACTCAATCCCACTGCCCATGTCGCCTGCAAAGATGTTAAATAGTACCAGTCCCAGCACTCATCTGAGGAACACCACTCATCACCAATCTTCACTTGAACCACAGCTCTCTGAGTGCGAACATCCAGCCAATTCCTTGTCCAGTGAGTTGTCCAACCATTAAATCCATTTTTCCCCAATTTGGTGACTTGGATGTCACGCAGGACAGTGTCAAACACTTTGCACAAATCCAGGTAGATGACATCAGCTGCTCCTCCTTTATCCAGTGATGCTGTAACTCCATCATAAAGGCCACCAAGTTTCTCAGGCACAGTTTGCCCTTGGTGAAGCCATGTTGGTTACCACCAACCACCTCATCTTTATTTTCCATGTGCCTTAGTAGGGCCTTCAGGAGGATCTGCTCTATGGTCTTGCCAGGCACAGAGGTGAGACTGATAGCCCTGCAGTTCCCTGGGTCTCCTTTTCTTTCCCTTCTTGAAAAATGGGGGTTATGTTTCCTCTTTTCCATAATGTGTTGTTTGTGTCTGGAAGAGAGATGTATGTCTTGCCATTCATGCTGAGACACCCTTATGCACATCTTTAATACCCTAGTGTGAAATTTTACCTACAGCCAACACAAGAAGCATTTTTCTTTCAGAACTTAGCATTCAAGCCCACATTTCTCAGCATCGTGCAGCAATACAAGGCTTAACAATTGGGAAGTGAATAGGACTTGCTTCTTTTAAATTTCATTTAACCTTTTCTAAGCTGCCGTTCTTAAATTGCTGCTACAGTTACTTAATTTCCTTCCCTATTTACTTATTTCATTATGTAATTATTTCTTCTTGCTCAAATGATGAGATATAATAGCTGTGTCACAGTGATGCCTTACCCCTGGTGATGCCATGGCTGTGTCACTGCAGGCAGCCACCAGCTCCTGGCACCACTCTGGGGATGCAGTGTCCATGTCACAGTGGGTAGAACGTTGGTGGTGGCTCCTATCACAATAGGGTGGGTGGCCTGGTTGGCACATGAGAGGCAGCCATTGGGCAGCCATCAGGCAGCTGTACAGCAGCCACATATGGAGAGGGGAAAATGACCAGACCATGATGTTCAGCAAGTGAGTGTTACAGGGTTATGCAAGATGTTGAGCCCCAAATCCTCCTGTGCTGCTGTTCATAACAAATTCTGAAGAACTCATTTTCATGGCACTCTCTAAAGCCACGTTGTCCCACCTTTGTCCCAGCTTTGTCCCAGCCAGAGGTCTGTAGTTTTGCGCCTTTCAGCCTCGCAGCAAGCCATCTGATCCCAGTTAGATTATCTCTCTTAGCTTTCTTGCTGCGAAGAGAGGCTGGAGGGGATGTCAGTGCACTGTCTGGAACAGGCTGCGTCTCTCTCCTCCTGTATGCAGAACCTTGGGAAAGGGGAAAGGAAACCAAGATTTGGGTTAAATCCAGTGAGTGTGGAATGAGATACATGAAGACTCTGAAGGATGGTGGCAGTCACTATTAATGTTCTTTAAAAGCAACCTTTTTTCTTGCCAACTCGGTTATCCTTTTCCAGAGTTCGAGCAATAATTGTGTGACAGAGTACTGTGGCGGGAAGCTGGAGGAGATCTTTGGATTTGGCCCTTTGACTCCACTGGAAGTTTAATCATGCTGGACATTCTAGATCACCAACAAGTGAAGCAGCTCTTTCAGGTGCTGGACATGCAGGGGTACAGAACACATCTATAACTTTTAATTTGGGATTTGATTTTAAAACTAATTTAATTTTCCTGTACGTGTTGTTAGAAACTGCTTAGATACCCACTCTAGTCTGTGTGGGGGACTAATTTGAAGTTAAATTAAAACTTGGGTCAAATAGAAGGACTGCAGGATATGACACAATATAAGTTATGAGATCAGTAATGTGATATCAATGATATAAGTCAAAAGTGCTCAAAGTAATGATGTAATAAATAAAAATCAATAGCATTGCTAACAGATTTCCATTCTGAAGTAAATTTACTGAGAAGAAGTATGATTAAATCAGCAAATTCATTGCAGTTGTAAAGCCCAGGTCATCACCTTCATATTTTGTCTGATTAGTTTTGGGATTATTTCTGGTTCTATTATGTCTGCTTTCACTTCATTACAGACACAACTTCATCAAATATTAATAGTAATGGCTGTAGGATAAAACCTTTATGTCTATTTTCTTGTTCTTCTTGCTGCCTTATCAGCATTGTGAGTATTGTGGAAATCATCGTCAGCTGCTGCTGCAGTGCCAGCAGATGGAGAACAAGAACACTACTCTGCCTCTGTGTGAACATGAAATAAAAAGTCTCTATTGTTTGTCAAGGAAGGGAGACAAAAATGTAATTAGCCAGTCAGTACAATGAATAGAAAGTCAGGTTTTGGAAGGTTAAACTCTGTAAAGAAAAGCATGCAGATACCTCTCCAAAGCCCGCTCCCAGAAAAGTCACTTGTTCTCCCCTTAAAATATTAAATATACACAAAGATTTCTGACTGAGCAAATGGGCAGTTAATGCACGTGACATGCAATCTAACATTGTGGCTAGCATCTGCCTGAATACTTTATTTCAACTTTTTGCACTCTGAAGCTGAAAGAACAATTTCTGGTAAGAAACAGGTAAGAATACTTTAGTTTTTATGGGGCTTGGAATTGACATGTTAGCTACAAATTGACAAATGGTTGTATTCATCTGAACAGTGATATGGCCTCTTATTGAAGACAGATACCTGGGCCAGTTGGCAGTATAGCACACATAATGTTATCAGTCTACCATTATTTCCCTAACAGAGTATCTCTCATTATAGTATTCTTTCTTTTTCAAGCTGGAGGTACAACTTCTGTTTGTTTCTAAACTAAATTTAATCCCAGAAGAAAGTATTAATTATAATTCTATAGTGAACTAAATAGCATGTACTGCAAAAGTATTAAACTTTTCCCTGATATTCATGTCAGTAAATCAAGTAACTTCTAGGATAAGAAGAAACAAAATAGAGACAACATTTTGATACATAAGGAAAAAAGTATCTTGTAATTTTTTTAATAACGGGCTGTTAAAGATCTCTGGATGGAAACAAATAGTTTGCATGTTTAATTCAGGATTCTCATTTATGGCAAGAATAATTCTTCATTTAACAGAGCTCATCTGTGCTTGCTCTTGTTCCCAAGCCAAAAACTTTTTACACAGAGTTATGATCAATATTTTATGGTCTGTTCATAGCAGTGAGCCTCATGTTGTATGGCCACTGTATTCAGGCTCAGCTTCATATAGTTCACAAACCTATTCTGCTGAGGTTTGAGTCATTCTGAATATTGGCTAAGTAAGATGGCATAATGATCCAAACTGCAATCTGAATATTAAAAGCAAAGTTTTCTGTTTGCTCCTATAGGTTAGGGACAGTGGAATTTGTTCCTGTTAGATCCCATCTCTTGCACCCATCACCGCATACTCATGCACATTCCAGCAATACAGTAAGAGGCATGACTAACATCTGTCACATGCAATTCTTCCTTTGTCTCTCTTTCCTTTTCCCAGGGGTAATATTTCATATAAAAATTGTTTTTTTTACAGATTTAAATTTATATCTCACTTGTGAAGTTTGCTTCAGAGAGGGAGCCCTGGTTGGGCTAGCTGGTTTTATTTCCAGATAGTACTGGAAATAAAAGAGTGCCTCAGTGATTCTTGCTTGAGGAGGGTCTCTTGTCATGTGTATGGAACAGCCTCAGGAAGCAATCTGTGTCTCCAAGCCTTAGATTTTGGTTTGTGAGTAAATAACTCCATGTGTTTCAGCTGCAAAAATACCTTTAGATAATATAAATTTGTTCCCTCGGTCTTTTGCATATGCAAGTCTTGTATTTGAAATACCTCTTAAGTTGTAGGGACAAAGATTGTGGAGTACAGTGCCATGCTTTTTAAATTAGTGTGCTGTTTGAAAGGTTATGTGGCTGTTGTTTCCCCAAGAATAGCCTGTTAGCCAGAGAAGAGATGACAGTGTTGTCCAAGAGCCTGAAGCCTACCTCTGTCCTATTACTCTGAAAGATGGAACTTGAGTCTTTGGCTGGTTGGATGCAGTCCCAGAAATGAGATGGAAAAGGCTGTTCCTGGGAGAGAGAAGGTGGAATTCATGTATTATCCTCAATTCCCACCCCTTAGAGGAAATTTAGCCTTTTGTCATCTAAATAGTACCTTTGACAAACAGTAAGAAAGCTGTGGGTCTGAAAATGACTCAGAAATCTGTAATCCCATTGTCTAATTAATTGAAGATGTGGTTATGTATCAGTCATGCCTTTTTTTTTTTTAAATAGTCAGTCCTAGGTATCAATGTGTATTCTTTTAAATGTTGCATGAGACCTTAGTGCAGATGTGACTTTTGTACCTGTAATGAAGACTTTTTTCTTCACTGAAACAAATACCAGCTCTTCCAATTGGGAAGTGCCCCACTCGTACAAAATCAGGGAAAAATCTGGGTCAAATCAACGAAGTTGGACTGAAATCTCTTCAGGACTATGTATTTCCTTGCATATTCAAGTATTGAACAGATGGAAACTTGACAACATGTTTAAATGGTGGCAGAAGGTGGGATCTTATTATGAAAGGCAGTTTTAGGGTATGCTGAGCGTAGGTCTTTGTAGAGTGTGGTGTTAGGTCCTGCTCTGGGTGATAAGCAAGGCTGAGAAAGCAGTTTTGTATGCTGAGCAATTCTTTAAACTCAGTAACCCAAGCAAAAAAAAAAACACAAACTAAAACATATTTTTCCTTCAGAATTAGCCTTCCACAAACAGTAATCACATTTGTGTTCCTTGTTATTCCTCTCTTAGAAAATCAGGCTACTCTGAGATGCTGTGAGGAGGTCACTGGGAACCAATGTGGTGACCAGAGGGTGATAGACCACAGCCACTGTTGGTCTGCAGGCAGAATATTGCTGTCCTTCAGTATTTCTAGAAAGCTGTGGACAAGCCATGCCTACCTGAGGTGCTGAGATTGGTTTGTCTGAATGAATGCCAAATGCAAAGGCAAGTTTCAGGATTTCCTGCTCTGATGGATCACTTTTGCTGTGAGTTACTATTATATTTAGGTATGCATTACGTTGCAGTTAAAATATCTAAAAAAAAATCCCAGTCACTCTGTTACAGATGGCTTAAATGCTCTTCTACAGTTATGTTCTAATGGCTCATTTAGCACTAGTAAATAAGCACTTTCCTGCTTTCTTTCATTACCGGTGTACTTTGCCGATTTTGTTTTCAAGAAAAAGAAGCTTAATGATTTTGTTAATTAAATAAAAGAATGAACAGTATCAAATACCTACATATAATTCGGTTTGGAAATATCTTTAAATACTGCCCTTGATTCTTAGGCCCCATGCAGGGAGGATGCAAACATTCTGCCTGTGCTCAGAGTGGAGGCACATGGTTTTCCCTTATGAAGACAGGCTGAGGGAGCTGGGCTTGTTCAGCCTGAAGAAAAGAAGGCTGCAGGGTGACCTCATTGCAGCCTTTCAGTACCTAAAGGAGCCTATAAACAGGAGAGGAATCAACTCTTTGAAAGGGTTGGTAATTGCAGGACAAGGGGAAATGGTTTTAAGTTGAGGGAGGGCAGAATGAGGTTGGACGTCAGGGGGAAGTTCTTTACAGAGGGAGTGGTGAGGTGCTGGAACAGGCTGCCCAGAGAGGTTGTGGATGCCCCGTCCCTGGAGGTGTTCAAGGCCAGACTGGATGGGGCCCTGGGCAGCCTGGTCTAGTATTAGATATGGAGATTGGTGGCCCTGCCTGTAGCAGAGGGATTGGAGCATCATGATCCTTGAGGTCCCTTCCAACCCAAGCCATTCTGTGATTCTGTGATTCTTTCATCTGAGCAGCTGTAGTGCTGGTGAAGAGCTATTGGCAGCTCCCACTCAACAGAAGCAAGGATGTGCAGGCATGAGCATCATGCTGCATGAGCACCGAGTGACAGTTTAGGAAAGAAAAAGGAGAAAAAGGGCTAAAAAAAAAAAAGGAAAAAAAAGATTGTGGCTGCAGCCTGCTGAGCACTCGCAGCTGCTGCTCGCTGTCTGTGCTGTGAGAGCACCTTTCTGACAGGTTCTCATGCTCAGCTCTGAGGTCAGGGTGGGATTAGGATGGGAACCCTCTCCTGACAGCTGCAGCACTGAGTCACTGCATGCTGACTTCAGCTCTGTGGCTTCTGAGGAATGTTTAATTAGTTCGCTCGCTATCAGAAATTATCTCAGGCAGAGACGCAGACATATGTTGGAACTGGAGAAGGTGCATTAGGGGGGCGGTGAAGGGTGGCATCCGAAATATGAATAATTTCTTACATGTGACGATGTGCTTTGATTCTGGTCTCGTGATTGCCTGTTTTAGTACTTGTCTTTTTTTTAAATCTCAGCTAATTAAAGTCTGCGGTTTAATTTTGATGTTTTGAATGGTGTTCCGGGCAGTGTATGTGGTGTTATCCCATTGTGCGTGGTTTGGGCATATGGAAGAATAATTTAAAGTTTTCATAGGTAGTAATCCCAAACTAAAGAGATGCTTTTGTTTCCTGTAATCATTTCGGAGACAGCCACCCAAATCAAAATTTCTTCTTTAATGAAGAAGTATGCTTAAGCGAACAAACGCGCCCTTGTTCCCTGCTGCAGAACAGGGCTGGTAGGAGCTCAAGGAGCCTCAGAGACACAAGTGCCGTTGTGTG